AGGGGAGTGAATGACCTCCTTTTCTTAAGGATGTGTGAGAGTCTTCTCAAGAGCCCTGGATCCTCACTTCTCCGTCTGGGTAAGTGCCTTTATGTCCATAGAGTCAGTGGGCAACAAGGCCCTAAGCAGGGCATGGAAGGCCAGTGGGCTTTGTGTTGAGGTTTCTGTAGACTCAGATTTTTGTAGCCCTCAGCTTTTAATTTAGTGACTTATAAAACTAGCATACTCTTTCGTAGAAAATACTAAATTAACTCCAGGCAGGTATTCATTTCTCTGAAATAAATGGTTTTCATTTACTTCTTATATCATTACTCAAGGAAGATATTGCCCTTTTAGTCTGAAGTTTTATATTCATATTAACAACCCTGGTGAAAGAGATGAACATTCACAGTGGGTCTTTATTATATACAGACTTTGTTTCTCTTCTCTCATCTGTATATTAATTAGAAGTTTTTGAGTAAGTGACCTCTATAGTTTGGGTTATTCAAGATTTTACTTAGCATGTAGTGAGGTTCTTTGCTTAAAGTATTCACTTTAAAAAAAGACTTTATCCTCCTTCTTATAAAATATATGTGAGAATTTTCTCATAAGGACCTTGTGGGGCCCAGCATTGATTTCACAAATTTCACATTAATGGTGTCAGCACTTAAGCATGTTCTCTACTTGTTAGAAAATTTTATATCAGATAAAAATGAAAGTTGGATTGCAATTACACAAAAGTAAAACAAAGTGACTACAGTGGAGATTTTTCCTGTGTTTTTAGTAAAGGCCTTAGAATATAATCCACCAGAATTTATTGAGAGGAAAGAATATGCCCCATGAATATTTTCTTTATTTTTCTTCACTTTAAAAATATTTCTTAAGTATTTGTGGTGGCATATGCTTATAATCCTAGCACTTGGGAGGCTGAGGCAAGAGAATCACTATGAATTTGAAGGCTACATAGTGAGTTCAAGGCCAGCCCTGAACTACATAGTGAGATGCTGTGTCAAAAAAAATATCTCTTGCATTCATAGTGAATATGCCAGAACCCCATACAATATGTGAAAAATGTAGACCCAAATTTTTTTTCTGTCCTAATTTCTGGAATTTTGTTTTATGTTAAATCCACCCCTCACTGAGTGTTTAAATATTTATATCAACAGATCATATATATATGTTGATATATATATAACATTATATATATAAAACATATATATGTTATATTTATATCAACAGATTATCTTTTCTTGATAATATAATTCAAAGACATAAAGGCAAATGGACCTAAAAGCTATTCATCAAGAACATTAGACTTTCAAAGAAGGAAGGAGGAAATATAGATACACACATGATAGCTAAGATAATTGTACTACTAATTTCTATGGGTTTAGTGAAAGGAACAATTAACGCTTAATTTTTTATCAATTTTCCATAATTATATCTGGTAATCTGAACAACTACTTTGAAGATAACAATATGCAATTTAACAGCCATTGTTAATTTCATATCATCTTGTTTTGAAATTCTGCATCAATTTTAATTTTTAAAAATTTTTTTATTGTCTTTAAAATAAAAAAAACAAGCAATATAAGACTTTTATTCTTTTTCTATGGGGTAGATTAGAGAAACTGATCCAGGGCTATGTGATCTTGTGTGGGATGACAGCTTTGTATTGGTGACATTGTGCCTCTTGGATTTTTAAGTTTCTTTACTTTTGAATAGTAATTACCTTCTCTTGATTTTTCTGAAAATAGACATAAACATATTAATGCTATAAACATCTGTGGGTAAATGAGCACCCACATGTGTATACACACATCTTTTTATTTGGCAGTAAAGGTAATGTTTACCTCATTTTAAAAAATTACACATCTGATATTCATGTACTTAAGCAGTACTCAGGTGTTCTTATTCCTTTTCCTGGGGCTGTGCACATCACAAAAGCTGTGCCATGAGCTCAGACTATCTGGCTTGTGATGATTCTACTTTCCCTACTGTGTCTGCTCTTTTACCTGCTTTCTCTTTATAGTGTTCCATGTGAATTCTGCTGAAAGTTGTAGCATTTCCACAAAATGAACCTATCCCCGTGGTCATGGAGAGTATCCGCTCACAGACCCTATTTTCCTTTTTACTTTAAATACCACACAAGGACAATATTGGTGGCCACAATTGTGAATTTGATCTATGAGCTACAGGAGTAATAGCACTGACACTCCTAAGAGCTGTATTTGGGCAGTGTCTTCTAGATCATCCCGTGGGTGGAAGGAGCTGCTGTCCTGTCCTCTGTTCCCCTAAACTGTATTGAACCTGGTAAGTATGAGCTGGATGAAGCATGGCTGGGAGGGGACACTGCTAGATCATTTCTGTTAGCCTGTTTTCATGTGTTCACTTTCTCAAGAATATGTTTTCTAATAAAATACAAGTACATATATAGTTATATACCTTTTTGTATAACATCAGACAAATATATGACAAAGATATTTCAGTGTGTTTCACTAATATATTTGCATGTGATCCACAAAATTTAGAAATGGTTGTACAGTTGGCCTTATTTTCTGTCATCTTTCTGATGATCTATGGGAACTAATAACATAAGTGTGTGGTTTTGATGCAGCACTTTCTTGTAATAATACTCTGGAGGAAGGAGATTGCTCTTCTGTCCTAAGAAAGACTTGCTGGTTTCACCTAAGGATCCAAGGGTCTCTTGATATTCTGAATGTTGTGTAAACTTAGAGCATCTGTACACATCTCCTACCTCAATCTTTCATGCTTGTAGGACTGTAGAGTCCTAAACAATAATCACTGCTGAAGCCGGGTGTGGTGGTGCACACTAGCAATCCAAGCATGCAGGAGGCAGAGGCAGACGGATTGCCACAAGTTCAAGGCCAGCCTGGGCTACATAGTGAGTTCAGGGGCAGCTTGAACCCTACAGTGAGACCCTGTCTCAAAAAAAGAAAAAATCACTGATGAAAAGAATACAGTCCAATTTAAAGGTGATTTATAATGCTATTGGGCCAGTTTTACAAGGTTATTTGCTAGGGTTATTTTTTAAAACAGAAATAAAGTAAAGCCTAAATTTTAGACAAATAATATGAGAAGACAAACTTTGGATTTATATTTTATTTTTTCATGTAATTATTTAAAATACCATTAAATGCTGCTGTGTGATAGCTTAATTTTATTCCTTTAAAATATTATGAGGGCATGTTTTGGAACTGGCATGAAATAGATGTACAGAAAATAGGTGTCTGTCACCTACAAGTACTTGAAACACTAGGAAGACCACGGAGGACCATGCAGCATGCAATCCACAAGAATCTGAGAACTTAGGAGTGAGACAAGCATTGTTCAATGTTTCCCCTGAGCATGAAAGGATCGTTCCTTAATTTGCTGACTTTGTGAATGAAGAAAATTGTCTTTCTTGTATCAAACTTTTGGAAAAAGATTAAAACTGTTTAATTGTTGCTATGACTTTTCTACTTTGAAAACAAAAATTTCCATATTATTTAGACCAGCTGCGCAGCTGCCTCTGAATTCTTCAATGTGATCTGAGTTCATGGTGCCTAAATATTTGAGATTCCTCTCACTAAAGCATAAGTTCTAAGTAGCTATGGAAGGATAGCCTTAATCTAGGATGTTGAGATGATAAATATGAACGAAGATGTGTCTATACCCATGGTGCTGCGTTATACCCCTCATTTTATAGCTTTATACAGGATTGATTTAGAGCAAATAAGTGAATCATCTATATAGATAAATTAAAGTTGGTTATCACCAAATTCCACAGTATGAAACTTACATTTTCATCCATAACCCTTCAAATATGCTTTTTTTTGCTTGAGGAAGATGTGAAAGTTTGGACTCCTGTTGAAACACCTTTAGTGTGGAAATAGTTGATGTTTACCTCACTAAAACAAAGGAATAGTCATCAGCATTACTTAAAATACTTAGCATTCTCATTCCATCTGCGATGAAGTGAAAAGGAATCTGGAATTTTGGATCCTAATAAAAATGAATAACTACAATCTGATGATTTAGATGAGGTTTTTCTGGCACCACTTTTGAAAATATATAAAATGCGCTGTCTTGGAAATTTCCAAAAATCTGTTTAAATTGCATGTGTCTTATAAACAGATATTAAGAGCCTAGTGTTTTGGTATTTACTTCACCTTGCTCTCTTAGGATGGAACAGTGATGGGATATTTTGTAAACTGTATCAGTTCTCTGAGGTTGTGTATACTATCTACACAATAATAATAACAAGCATTTCATTTCTATGCCATGCTGTCTTCATATTTGGTACATTTGTATATATTATATCTCTAGGAAGTAAATAATGTAGTCGTTCATATTTTATAGATAGATAATTGTCCCTCAAAAGTATAATTTTCTTTTCAAGTCCTGTATTTGATAAATGTCATATCACTGAGGTAAATTGGAGTCACTCATCTGCTTAGCAAAATTCAAACTTAATGAACAAAATGGAAACCTATCGGGATATTTGTTCTCTGTGAATTTTGGCCCAGCAGTAAACCAGAATAAGGATGTCACTGAAATAACACAACTGTGTATGCCTATCCCACAAATAATTACTTCCTGGAAGGATCTTATTTTCAGATCTCAGCCACTCTCCTCTACCAACTTTAACAAAAAATACAGAGTTCTTTTCATGTACCTAGCATTTTCTCTACTTTCTAGAGATATGAGGGCAAATAAGACAATGTGCCTAATTTGTAAAGCTAAAAATTGAGAGGAAAAACAAGGAAATACCTTCCATAATCTGGAACAGTTTCTCACAGAGGCACTGTGAGACTCCTAACCCAGGAACCACTGAGAATGGCTGCGATGGGGGAGAAAGCAGTGGTGCACCCAGGAGGCTTAGGTAGACCTTGGTTTTGAAGGGGGGAAGAATCCACATGTTTTCATGAAGACATAATGTTGATTGTGATTGATTAAAAATGACAATAGTTTCCTTGCTTTTCTCCTCAGACATTTACTGATGTCCTTAACCCATCAAGATGAGTAAAAAGAGAAAATTTTCCAGTTTTTCTGACATAAAAAACACAGTTTTCTTTGAAATCACCATCGGGATCACAGCCAACACTGTCCTGCTTCTGTTCCACATCCTCACATTTCTCCTCAGGCACAGGCCCAAGCCCCTGGACCTCACTATTGGTCAGTTGGCCCTGATCCACCTGGTGATGCTGGTATCAATGGCCTTCATAGCCACAGACACTTTTGGGTTTCAGGACTGGAGCGATGACCTCACATGTAAATCAGTTATTTACATAAACAGGTTGATGAGGGCCCTCTCCATCTGTACCACCTGCTTGCTGAGTGTCCTCCAGGCCATCACCCTCAGCCCCAGAAAATCTTGCTTGGCAAAATTCAAACATAAATCCTCACATTACTACCCTTGTTGCCTTGTGTTTTTATGGGCCTTCAATATTCTCCTGAATACTCGTTTCTTAATCTCCATTGGTGCCACCCCCAATGTGACCTCACACAGTCTCCTGTTTGTCACTGAATCCTGCTCTCAGTGGCCTATTAGTTACTTGTTCAGGTATGTATTTCTCTCACTGGTGAATGTTCAGGATATCTCCTTTATAGGGCTGATGGCTCTCTCAAGTGGATACATGGTGAGTCTCTTGTGCAAGCATAAGAGGCAGTTTCAGCATCTTCACAGCACCAGCCTTTCTCCAAAATCAGCCCCAGAAGAAAGGGCCACTCGGACCATTTTGCTGCTTATGGGTTTCTTTATGCTCATGTACTTTTTGGACTGTGTCACCTTTTCCTCCTCTGGAATATTGTGGAGAAATGAACCAATTAGCTATTGTGTCCGTATGCTTGTGGGCAATGGCTATGCCACAATCTGTCCTTTTGTGCTAATGAGCATTGAAAAGCGAATCATGAAGTGGTTAAAATTCAGGTGTTAAGACAGTGAATGTTCAGTGATGGATGATTTCCTTTCAAATAAACAAGTATTTCAAATTTCTGTTCTGTCTTTTAAAGATATCTAGTTAAGGTTTTAATGTTTACATATTTACTTTGATGTACATGGTTTATAAGTATGTAATAGATGATTAACATTATAAAACTTTGAAGAATCAGAAGCTTCAGTTTCTAATCATACTCACAAAGATTGGATCTCTTACTGTGTGCCAAACTCTAAAGAGCAGGGTGTGTGTCACTGATTTTGTGTGGAGAGACTAGGACCAAGAAAAAGCAGATCGAAGACATTGTATAGAAAATACATGAAGAAAATTGGAGGGACTAACTTGATATTTTTCAATGTATATGCTTTCATATATATTTTTAATTTTATACCGTGGATACTTCAGAAATACTATTAAAATTAATGCTAGAAAAATAAGAACATAAATTCTGGATAAACATATTAATGACTAATAATGAACTATCATGTGTATAATGTATAATGCATATGCAGAGACTATAAGTAAATTTGTACAAAATAATCATTTACCAAGGTAGGATTGAATATAGCTGAATAGATGAGGAGCTATGTTGGAGGTACTCACAGAAAATCAACTAAAAACACATATAATTGGAAGAAAGGGAAAGATGTACTTCCTGATGCCAAAATCAATCTGAAATAAGAGACCTATAGATCAAACAAAACGTAGACATATGATTTAATAAGACAGAAAGCTAGCCCAAAGGGCTGCTGGTGACTTGTATGACCATGAGCAGAATAGAATCACCGTACTAGGAAGTTTAAAAGAAAAAAACAAAAGAGTCAGAAAGACTGAAAAAGTGCATCTAACTTAAGACACACAGGATAAACTTGGGATGTAAGGCCCCCTGAGAGTTTTACCTTCCTTTGAACAGAGGACACTGTAGCCCAGCAACCAACTCCCCCAGCACACACAAGATTCAGTCAACCGCTCCCTCCCCAATAAGTCAACAGATTCTTTCTTTCTTTTCTTTCTTTCTTTCTTTCTTTCTTTCTTTCTTTCTTTCTTTCTTTCTTTCTTTCTTGTAATGTACCAGAGCAGCCAACTGGAACATCTAGGGATAGCAAGTTTAGGGGCTATGTAGACTGCAGCAGTTAAGGTAGTGAATGGAGCAGCACGATGCCTTCTGCCTAGTGAACAGTGGCTTGAGAGAGGGACACAGGACTTAATCATCCTTGTACTTGGCACAGCAATGAGTGGGAGGTTGGCTCTCCTCCAACAGGAGGGGAAATTGAACTGGGACTGAACAGCCCTGGGCTGTCTCCATGACAGCAGCAAGAGCAGCGAGTCAGCCCTCAGCACCATGTCCCACCTCACTCTGCAACAATTGGCACATTGGAAGCAGTGAGTCAGCAAATTTAGGGTCTGCAGCAGAGGCAGCATTGGTGGCAGCATCAGGGAAGGTAGGGTGTGGAACAATATGACCCATCCTGCCCCAGTGGTTTGAGAGAGGGACACGGGACTTAAGCAGCTTTGCACTGAGGCACAGCAACAAATGAGAGGTTGGTATGCCCACTATAGGAAGGGAGATCAAAGTGGGACCAAGCAGCTTTTAGTGGCAGTGGCAGGAGCAGAGAGTCAGCCCACAGTGCCCCACCCCTCCCTGCAACAAGTGGTGGGAGAAGAAAAAGATGTGCCAGTGAAAATGAAACAGAGGAGCCAAATGACATAAAAACCTCATTCATAGAAGTAATTGCAGAAAACTTCCCAAGTATGGAAAAAGAATTTGACATACAGAAGTGAGGTATATAGAACTCCAATTAGTCATGATCAAAGTAAATCTACACCAAGGCATATAATAGTCGATTCTCAAAATTAAGCACAAGAACAGAATATTAAAAGCTGTTAAAGAAAAAATCCAAATTACCTATTAAGGAAAGCTCATAAGAATCACAGCAGACTTCTCAACACAAATAATTAAGTCAAGGACAGCTTGGAGTAAAGTATTTCAAATCCCGAAGAAAACAACTTCTAACAAGAATGATGTAACTTGCATAACTATCTTTCAGAATTAATAGATAAATATGTACCTCCATGACAAAGAATTATGAAGAAATTCAGGTCTCCAAACCAGCTCTACAAAGTGTTCTGAAAGATATTCTAGATAAAACAAGCCACAATTCCAAAAACACCAACAGAAAGAAGCTACCAGCAGGGGAAACAACTAAACAGAAGAGAAAGACAGAGAATCAACAGCAGGAAAATAATATGATGAGAGTAGGCCAATATATAGCAGTTATAACCATCAGTATAAACTGTTTTAATTCACCAAGCAAAAGAAACAGATTAGCAAAATGGGTCAAGAAAAGACCTAGCAATATGCTACATACAAGAAACACATTTAACTCAAACAAAGTTGTAAATGGAAAGTCAGAGGATGCAAAATGATACTTCATGTGACAGGAACAAAGAAAAAGCAGGGGTTGATATTGTATTTGTAGACAAAGTAAACTTTAAGCCAACACTGATCAAAAGAGATAAACAAGGTCACCACACACTTCTTAGGGTAAAACTGAAAGAGGAAGAGATAACAATCAAAAATATATATGCATCAAATACAGATGCAGCCAACTATATAAAACAAATTAATGGACACGATAAAGCAAGTACTAACACAATTGTAATGGGGGACATTAATACCTCACTGTCATTCCTGGAGGCAAGTATTGTCCTGATACCAAAGCCAGAGAAGAACCCAACCAAAAAAGAGGACTATACACAAATCTCCCTAATGAACATTGAAGCAAAAATCCTCAATAAGATTTGCCTTTGTTATTCTTTTCCTTTTCTCTTTAAAATGAAAAAAATATGCATATACAAGGATAGTTGGGATAAGTGTATTGCTGATGTCTATGGTTTATTGAAAGGAATACTTAGTGCTTAAATTTTTTTTCTTGACCAATTTTGCATGCTTGTATCTGGTAATAAAATAATCTGATTTGAAGACAACAATGTGTAATATAACAACCAGTGGTGAATTCCTACCATCTTGTATGGTGAAGTTCTGTATCATTTCCAATGTTTTTTTATTATGTGTTATTGTCTTTGAATGTTTGATGAATCTTGCATTCTTACATCTGGTGGACTGAGCAACTTCACTGAAGACAATAGTATGTAGTGAAGCAACCGTTGTTAATTCTTATCATTTGGTTTTGAAGTCATGTATCATTTTTGTTGCTTTGGTGCTGTTTTGTTTCTGTCTTCATTGTTATTGTTTTATTAGTTTTTTCTCTTTAAAATAAAAAAGAAAACTATTGAAAAAATTTTAAAAAGATGCTGACAAACAGAAGGCAAAAACTTAAGAAGATTATACACCATGATCAAGTAGAATTCATCTCAGGGATACAAGAATCATTTAATATATGAGAATCAATAAATGTACAATACCATAACAACAGAGCCAAAGACAAAAATCACATGATCATCCCAATATGCAGAAAAAGCACTTGACAAATCCCAACACCCATTCATGAGAAAAACCCTACAGAAATTGGAATAGATGGGATTTATCATAATCTGATAAAAGCCATCTATGAAACAAAGTCAACAGCGAACATCATACTAGATGATCAAAACCTGAAAGCTTTTACAGTAAAATCAGGAACAAGATAATTATGTTCACTGTAATCACTCCTATTCAATACATTTCTGGGAATATTAGATTAGATAGACAAGAGAAATAAATGGAAGGAATAATGATAGAAAATTATTATTTGCAGATGATTTGAATTCTACATAGAAGTTCCCCAAAACTCTACCAATAGACTTTTATATGTAATAATCAAACTCAGACTCATAGCAAAACACAAAGCCAACACTCAAATATCAATAACATTCCTTTACACTAATCACAACCTCACTGAGAGAGAAATTAGGGAACTCACACCCTTCACAATAGCATCAAAAAATGAAATACTTAGGAAAAAATCCAACATAAGAAGTACAAAAATGTTTACAAGGAAAATTACAGTACTCTCTTAAAGGAGATCAAAGAGCATATCAAAAAATGGAAGGATATCCCTTGCTCTTGAGTAGGAAGATTCAACATAGTGAAAATGGCCATCCTCCAAAAATTGTTATATAGATTTAATGTAATCTCAATCAAAATACCATTAGCATACCTCATAGAACTTGAGAAAACATTATTAAAATTCATTTGGTAACAGAAGAGACCTAGAATAGGAAAAATAATTCTGGACAATAAAGGCAAACAGGAAGCATCAGAATCCCTGATTTGAAATTATACTAAAGAGTTACAGTGATTAAAACAGCATGGTATTGGTTAAAAAGAATAGATGCAAAGATCAGTGTAACAACTACAACATGCAGGAACATCTACAAACACACTCAGCCACCTTATCTTTGACAAAGGGACCAAACACTTTCACTGGAAGAAAGATAGCTTCATTAGTAAATGGTTCTGGAAAAACTGGCTCTCTACATGTGAAACAAGAAAACTAGACCCATGTCTCTCACCATGCACTAAACTCAAATCAAAATGGATCCAAAGAAATCAGCAACAGAGTGAAGAGACAACCAACAGTGTGGGAAAATATTTTAGCCATTTGTCCCTGAGACAGAGGGATTCCATCTAGAGCATATAAAGAATTGAAAAAAATCAGACCCCCAAATTTAAAGACCCTATGTAAAAATGGTCATCTGAGATAAATACATATTTCTCAGATGAAGATATACAAATGGAAAATAAATACATGAATAAGTGGTCAACATCACAGGGCACTTGAGAGGTGCAAATGAAAACAATGCTGAGATTTCACTTCACTGTAGAAAGAGTGATTATTATTAATAAATCAACCAACAACAGATACTTGAGGGGCAGTAGAGAATAAAGAACGCTTCACCACTCTTTATGGGAGTGTAGACTGGTGCAACTAATTTGGAAATTGGTGTGGAGATTCCTCAAAAAATTCATTTGACCTGAGTATTTCCCTATTTGAAAC